AAGATGACTGAGAGAGTAATTTGGATGGAAATTCAAAATGAATTCATCCTAAAAATTTTTTGGAAAAAATTTGCCAAAAAAATGGTTTGCTTCTCTTTGATTGAGCGTGTCATCCTTAGTGCAGGGGCCATGCTAATCTTCTCTGTATCGTTTCAAATTGACCAAATGCCCGAAGGCGAAAGTCCTGATTGTATTGGGCATTATAACCGTAATGCAGGGTGCAGGGATCAAAGGAGGGGATCCCGAATTCACGTGATGTTTACCAAAGCAACAAGGGGTGACATGGCAACGTGACAACAAAGGCGATAAGGCAACAAAGATAGTTACGTAAGCAGTAATAGCCTACCCCGCCCAAATGGCATTAGACCAATTACCTCATGTGTAAGTAAGAAATATTACTGTAATGCACTGTGCGTACAGCCCTGTTCTATTGACCGGACTAGACAGCGTACCACCGTATGATTTATAGCTTGCTCGTACATGGGACATTTAGCCTGACGCTATTCTGCTCGCCTGTAATAATAACGGCGAGACAAAAGTGCCAAAAATTGTTGTATTTTGGAAGAATGGAGAAGAATGTCTGCCTCTCTCAGATCTGGGGGATATCGATATCGGGGGCCCCACTATCCATTTCTGCGCCCACAATACGGTAGTTTTGCCCCATGTTCACGTGACAGCCCCACACCACCGATAGATTAATATGTCAAAAATGAATTTCATAGATGGTGCGTACTATTCAAACGAAGACCGGATACAGAAATATATCCTAGCAACATATCACGATATCTCAAGGATTCGTATGGCGCCGGGCTGACCTACTTCAAGGTAACGTTGAGGAGGTCGCGTGCTACTGCAACGGGTGTGATTCATATGAACAAGTCGGCAAGTATCCTCTTATATATCCGACATTCTCTTGAACAATTGATTTCCTATGTTATATCCCATCTTTAAGTGTACAAGTGGTCACGTTTTAATGTATACTCTCTCGTCCGTTGGAATTGGTCCTTGGGCGAATCCAGTTGTGACTTGTCCTGGTTCCTATCACCTTTAGCATTGATATAAGCTCGGTTGTGGCTTTCTACCAATTCCTTGGCGAGCTAGAGAGAACCTGGATTTGTCTTCTATGGCAATAACAACTTCCGCTCGCGAACCAGACGAGAATGCGATTGTGTTTCCTCATCAGTCTAGTTGGGCGAGGGTAGAGTCTCTGACACGTCCAATATTAGCTAAGGTGTCACGATGCCGGCCATTTTAAAGGGTTGGATAATGCTATTAAATGGAGAGATCTAAAACTATCTGGGCCGAGGCTGTGGTATACATACAAGAGGCCTCTTCGTCTACCTCGTCTCGAACTGGTCTATACTTCCAAGCAGATATCCCTACTTGTATTAGGTAAAACCTCTGACACTGTCGCTGTACATATTTCAGGCAGTTAACATAAAGGTGGGGTAGGTAGCTGGATTTCCCGACAATTTCCCTATTGGCTCATGTCGCGTGCGTATAAGCTTGGATAAGCAATCCCACTTTTGCCTTCGGGCATTTGGTCAATTTGAAATAATACAGAGAAGATTAGCATGGCTCCCTGCACTAAGGATGACACGCTTATACAAAGAGAAGCAAGTCAATTTTTATTTTTATTTTTTTTTCTTTTTAAGATTTTTTCCCCTTAAGTTGTGCCAACGATGCAGCATAATTACATTTATCCCACTAGTTTTTAATGCACGGGCCGCAAATAGATCTATGCGTTTGGCACCGCTTCGTGGCTTCAGGAACACGTACAATTAATTGAATCAATCTTCTTCCCTCATCTTTCTCTCGCACCTGATATCAGTGCAATAGAGTTTTAAATTTTCTCCTGGTCAAATTCTACCTCCTTTTCATAAGCAGACCTAGTCAAGTAATATCGATGCAGCTATCAATCTAGCCTCTGTAAATTATGTGCAAGACCTCGCCTCAAATGCACGACAATGCAACGCCTTTGCTCGCATTAATTCTGAAAACGCCACCATCGCAGGTTACATGAACTTTCTAAAGGACGGATCTGTCTAGGAAAACATCAAGATACCTTTCCTGGTGAATACATACGTGTTGATTTCAAATTATAAAAATGTAGCCAAGTTGACTATCTACCCAGCGAGATACATACGAAGGCCTACTCTATGAGCGGCATCTAACTATGTAGTTGAGTGCTGGGCCACCTATTTTAGTCGAGTGGCTATCTAATCCTCATTGACAGAGGACACACTTGGCAATGTAAAGCCTCCAGCGCCGCAAGCTTTTCTGGGTCGATTAATAAAAAAACTAATAACCCTTCCACTTCTTCACAAGCTCCGTTTTCGTCTCTTCACTCAACCCGTGTATGCGGCTAAAGTCGAGGCCGTTCCGTGGCCAGTACCCACTTCCGCCGCTCAAGTGAATATCTTTCTTCCGTTCTTGGAACACCAACACTTCGCCACGTGGCCACGTCCTTCGGTACGACTGGAAGTAATGTGGTTTATCTCTCAGCTCTTTGAATAATCCTTCAAAGTCCACTTCCGAGATGTCGGCGTAGTCCCATAAGACATACCCGCCTTCCAAGAGCTTCCAGTCCCTCGTGCAGGCCACGCTGCAAAGGATAGAATGGCCGAGGTTGGCTCTATACCAAAAATGGTATGGATCCGAGGCCATCGAGTCTTGTGCGCCGTCTGATGGCCGTACCAACAGCTCGAGCTGTGCGGGTGAGTAGTCTTCAAGTAGCGTTCCTCCCGGGAGACCAAGCCCGAGGAGCTCTGCATAGGGCGAGCACCCAAGAAACTGCCGGCGAGGATTGCAGTCGGCCACCCTGACTTCATTGCCGTACCGTCCAAGAAGATGGATTCTCTCGTCGTATGTTTTTGCGCGGACCGCAGAGCTCAAAAACGGGAGGCCTTGAGTAAGCTTTGCGAGATAGGTTAGAGATACGGATATATTTTAAACAGAAGGATTAAACTCACGTATGCCTGGATATGTGGGCAGCCGGTTGTTTGATGATGCCAGGTATAACGCATGTCATACCAGGACACTTCGTGTGCGACTATATCATCGAAAACTAGGGAGAAAGTAAAGACATTTAGCAAGCAGACTAGCTATAGACAAGGGAACATGCATTGGACTTACCATCGCTAACCTTTCGTTCCAGGTAAACGTATACAGACACCAATTGCCCATTTACCCACGGAGAAAACGAGCAGAAGAACAGATAGAGTAGGTGATTTGTTTCCCCGTCGATTGACCGCTCTATATTTTCGTCAAGACAGAATAAGTTGACCATAAGTTGGAACCTAAGAAATGCTCGTGTCAAGCGGAAGTTTTCCTGCTGTGAGATCTCTGATGAATGGCGATTTAGTGACAGTCTTTGTGTAGCGATGGGGATCACTTCCTCGGCCATGCTTCTAGCTAGAAACTCGGCTTCCGCATAATTTCGGCTGAGGAAGTTGTAGTCAGATAATGAGAGGTGGGCGGAAGGCGGAAGGGTTGCGCTTGTCATTCCAGAGGTTGCTGTCGTCAGCCGCATTAGCAAGTCGCGAGCTGCAGTATAATCCCTTGCATTGACCCGGGTCGACTCTCGAAGTGCAATAAGGAAGGGAAGAGTCTCTGGGGGAATTTGAGTTGTGATTATGCCGCGGGCGACGGAGTGGAAGTTGTCCTTGAAGGCATCGCGAAATATACGATGGCTCAGGATAGCAGAGAAAAGCTGTTGTATGGCATCTAATTTGGCCAGGATGCCAGCGACAATGTGCAGGGGCAGTTCTGTGAGAGAACGTCTCGATGTCTGTCTTGTGGATTCCATCGCGGCCTGGAAATTCTCTTGCTGAACTTGTTTTCAAGAGGCTGAAGGGCGGTACACCTATGAGTTAGGTGGTTGTATGGATGGTTGTGTTAAGGAATGGAAGAAGCAAGAACCTCAACATTGAATTCCATGAGGTTACGAGTGCATATATATATGTATGTATGTTACATGTAGGTCGGTGCACGTAGATGCTCTGATGGAAGGAGGTACGTAGGTACTTATTGACAACGGTTAAGAACGCGTTGTTGCACGGTGAGAATGTACTTCTGATAAAGGTCACACGTTGGTGACGAGTAATTATGAGGCTATGCGGTGCATTGATCCTATCGGCTCAACAATGTCCTCCGTGCCAAATGACATTTCCTCCACTTCTTTGGCTCATTTAGTATGAATCATACTGTATGATTGCAACCTGCGTCAACTCGTCATGGAAGACGCCATCTTCACTGTAGGGGTAGCTGCTTCATACTAGTCCTGTGAATTTAACTCATTCGCAATTGGAATTATAACAGTATAAGCCGAGTGTCTCTCAATTATGGTTTTCCATATTTGCTCATCAATGAACTGATCAGTTCAATAGCCAGGAGCCTTCTTCACACTGACTATTTCGTATGTTTTCCTTATAATTCAACCAACCTCTTTTTAGTTCGCTTTCATTTTGTATATTAACTTCTTTTCATTCAACACCATTCAATCCATCACTACGTGAAGCTCGAAAGACACAAGCTGTATATGATATCTTACACCAAAACAGATTAACGCATCTTTCCATTCTTATGAAGATAAGAGAAATAAACCGCACCAAGAGGTAGGTAGGTCTGTTGCAGCTTAAAATGGACGTTATACTCACTACATTTTCCCTTAAAGGCAAAGAACAATAGATTACAAAACCTTCAATCAAATCTTAGTTGCTAGGCAGGTACCTATATCCATATCCATTGATTTCCCTATGTATACTATATTCTGGTGAATTTCAGTTCGATACAATCTATCAAGTGAATAGAGTTTTAGAAAACCCGCCTAGACATGATAAGACTTATACTATAATAATAACTGGTAAAAATGGTAAGGAAATTAATTCAACATCTAAAAAAGAGGCACAATGAAAAGAAAAAGAAATAACATCCAGGGAAATCCAAACTTATAAAAAGGTTATAAAAACCAAACTTTACAAAATAGCGTAAAATATTGTCTGCCCATCCTGGGGTCGAACCAGGGATCTTCCGGTTTTCCTGTTACATAACAGCCGGACGCCTTAACCACTGGGCCAATAGGCAAGCAAGGTATCCCAGGCCTCAAAAGAAGAGCTCATTGATGACTTGAGATGTGGAAAATTCCCATGGCTACTTAGGGTTATAACCTACGGCTAGGTGGCCCACCACGACTCCATCGTGATTTTCTTGGCTGCTAGACACTTAAGAACTCTACACACTGCACCTTGAGGTATCGTAGTTATATGATTGTGGCTAGGAGACTATAATGGGAGTTATAGGCGAAACTATAACTCGATTATGATAGAACGTACGCTTAAGACGGACACAACACTCTCCGAGATCGAAACGCAAGTTACCAAACTTGACAATTTATACGTACTACTTGATGATAGAAAGGGATAAAATGTAAGCCCTATGTCTCATAATAGCCCTTTTGTCAAAGAGCCCAATAAATACTTGAGCGGGAGCGATTATGTCCTCGGTGTTTATTGACTTCTATTTTTAGTTCCCGCTTTTAGTTAGCTCTAGGCAAAAGTCTAGGATCGAACGTGATGCATATATCAGCTGTGTAATGGATACCATTTTGTTAGATCTCCATAGCTTACAGCCGAATGAGGAGTTATTGAAATTTGGGTTGGAAACGTAAGAGTAAGCTAGGACGACATCAAATATTATTTAGTCATGACTACGGGTTACTCGGAAGAAATCGCATTGGAGAATTACTCATGGGATATGGGATTATCTCTCCATACTTCCGAAATCATTGAGCATTCTTCTCTGATGTAATTAGTGGGCATATGGTGGGACTACCGGTGATCCGAGAGATTACCCTCTCTACCTCTTTATCAAATAACACACATGTATCCATCAGCACATTGTGATGTAGTCTTAATAAATCCCTAGCCATTATTAAGCTTCATATATAGGGTGACGTGTTTCGAGCTCGATTTCTTGATTATGAAATCCACTTGCCAGTTATGAGCTATTACCTGGTACACTTGAGGTAGTCAACTTAAATTCAATTCGTCCTAGCGTTGAACTACCGATCCGAAGCTTGATATGGTGGAAGAAATACGGCATGAACTTACTGTGAGTAGAATTCAGGTCTATCTCCTTAAGATGGCACGTCGAATTTGTAATCTTTCAGCTGTTATTAGAGAGCATAGGGTGAGTAATGTCCCGGAAAATAAGTCCGATGGTTCTCGGCATTAGTGAAAACATGCTTCCAACCGCATAAAAGCGTCGCATTTACGAAGCCGTATATGCATGAGATATGGCGAGAGCACCTTTACTTAATCCAATGAAATTAGTCCAGGCACATGCTAGAAATGTATAGATGTCGGGGCCTATTGCCTATATTCCACTCATATTTCAAGGAGACGTCCAATAGCTGCCGATATACCTTAATCTCCATGATTATGTGATGTTACATTACATGAGGATGGGGAAACTTGATATGTGACGGGAATAGAAGTATGAATTAATAATCTGCCACCTTGGAAGATGAAAAGAGCGATCAGATGCAAGCGAGAATACGTACGTACCTAAGGTAGGTACGTACTACACAGACTCTTGGTATATAAAACATACCATATCGGCCGACTCTGGCGGACTTACCTAGAAACAAGCTTGCATGCGAGTGAACTATCAACATCGAAAAAGGATTTAGAGACACCGAGTCTTAGCCACATTCGCAATGACATTGAAAGACATCATCAACAATGCTCCCCAACTTTTCACCAAGAGGGAAAAGTCATCGAACGAAGTTGAAAATTCGGATCTTGTGATTAGCCCCGGGTCCCTCGTGGTCGTAACGGGTGTGAATGGATTGATCGGAAGTCATGTCGCAGACCAATTCTTACAACGAGGTTACCTCGTTCGCGGCACCGTCCGTAGCGCTTCCAGGGACCAATGGGTGAAGGAACACTTCGAGAAGAAGTATGGCCCGGGAAAATTCGAGCTCGTCGAAGTATCCGATATGGTAGTGAGTGGTGCCTTCGATGAGGTTGTGAAGGGGGCTTCCGGATTCGCGCACGTCGCAGCGCCCTTGATGATAAGCACCGACCCCAACAAGACCGTCCCTATTGCCGTGGAGAGCACGTTACGCGCCCTAGAATCAGCAGCAAAGGAACCGAGAGTGAAGAGAGTGGTCGTAACTTCGTCTTCAGGGGCCTGCGCATGCCCCTGGGAATACCACGCCCTCATCGACTCGAACACCTGGAACGAGTCCGCCGTCGAAGAAGCATACGCGCCGCCACCGTACGATGATGCGCGTCGAGAAGAGGTAGTCTATTATGCGAGCAAGACCAAGAGCGAACAGGCGGCATGGAAATGGGTACAGGAGCACAAGCCCTCTTTCACATTGAATACTGTGCTACCGAGCGCCAATCTTGGGCCTCCTATCGACGTAGCCCACCAGGGTTATCGTAGTACGATCGAATGGGTAGAGACTGCGTTTAAAAAAGGCGAATCTCTGCAACTGAAGGACTTCAAAGCAATGAGGTCACAGTACTACATCAATGTTCGAGATGCCGCTGCGTTACATGTGGCGGCGTTAGTGTACCCTGACGTAACCGGAGAACGCCTCTTCGCCTTTGCATCCCCTTTCAATTTGAACGACATCTTACGTGTCCTGAAAAAGTCATATCCGAAGCACAAGTTCGCCGAGGAGATTCCTGGCCTAGGAAGATACGAGAGCAAGGTCGCCAATGGAAGAGCTGAAGAGCTTCTCAAGAGACTAACCGGACACGGATGGATAAGCCTGGAGGATAGTATCAAAGCTAATGCGGAGGGGTTGGCTACTCAGTAAGTAGGGTCGCGCGCGTGTTCGTCAGCGATTGAAAAAAAGGGAAAATAATGTACAGTAACAAAATACTAATCTGGAATATGAAATGCGCCGACTTACCTAATCGCGCGGCTGATTATTTCCCCTCCTTCACGAACGTCCAAGAGTGGGGGAAAGTGGGTGGTTCAAACATTGATGATCGATAGTTTGGATGGCGTCACCCGGAATCAGTGTTTAGGAAATTGAATACAAAGCTGTAGTGAGACTTCCATCTCGCCTACGGTGTCAAAACTATATATACCTTGGACCTTCTTCCGCTTGTGAAATTTTAGCAAGTTTACATCGTTGAATGAATAGTTGGCATCACTCATCACAATGGCTCCAAAGATCTTCCTGTAAGTACATCCTTTCGACCCCATAGAAGGCTGTATAGACTTTTATCGTTCAAAGCTGATTGGGTGTAGCACCGGCGCCACAGGTATGCATAGCTACAGTAGATTACATCTGATATCTCAGTTTAGATACTAAACTCCGAGGAAATCATGAACAGGCTACATTGGCGGCGAGGCCCTCTACTCGCTGGTCAAAACTCACCCGGAGTTTGAATATACCGTCCTCGTACGTAACGAAGAGCGGGGTAAGCCGGTTGCCGCCGCCTACCCCAACGTACGCATTGTCTACGGCACCCTAGACGATGCAGAAGTCATTGAGAAGGAGGCCGCTGCAGCAGATGTTGTAGTCCGTACGTAGCTCTTCTAATGGGTGTTTGTTATGAAAAGAGTACACGACGGCTAACAACGGCTAGACACGGCGGACTCTTCCGACAACATCCCAGCTGCGAAAGCCATTGCTAAGGGCATCGCGGCAGGACACACGGCCGAGAAGCCAGGCTACTGGATCCATCTGTGCGGAACCGGTATCCTGACCTGGTACGACGAAAAGCATAAGCGCTATGGACAGGCACCTCTGCCGGAGGAGCGGTACCATGACATCGACGACATCGACCGCATTCTCTCCCTCCCGGACGAGGCGATCCACCGGGACGTCGACAAGATTGTGATCGCAGCGAACGAATCTGCCGCGGTGAAAACGCTCATCGTGGGCCCTCCCACCATCTATGGCCAGGGCCGCGGTCCCGTCAACCAGCGCAGCATCCAGGTCCCGGGGCTCATCGAGTATACGCTCAAGAACGGGTTCGCGCCGATCCAGGCCCCCGGGCTGACTGAGTGGGATAACGTACACATTCGCGACCTAGGCGAATTCTTCGTGCTGGCTGTGGAAGCGGCGCTCGACCCCTCGAAGAACAGCAACCCGGAGATCTTCGGCCCCAAGGCGTACTTCTTCCTCGAGAACGGCGTGCATAAGTGGAGTGACGTCGCTAAGTGGGTCGCCGAGGAGGCCACGAAGCAAGGCCTTCTTCCCGAGCCCATTACGAAGGAGATCGATATCCCCCAGTTTGGAACGAACTCGAAGAGCGTGGCGGCTAGGGCTAGGAAGTATCTTGGTTGGACACCCAAGAGCCCGAGTCTGAAGGATGAGATCCCTGCGGCTGTGGCTTATGAGGCCAAGAGACTGGGTAAGGCTTGATTTGAGGCAAAAGAAAATCCTGTTGTTTGTTAAATGCCTATGACAATCACATCAGTAACTAGCCCTTAGCATAGCCGTAGCGGGTTAGAAGATCACGACACGGCGTGTTCATATCTCACATAGCTAAACTCGATGCTTTAGCTCGTCAATTAATGGTTAAACCTTTCTGAGTTTCGCGCTTCTCGTGATATTTATGTCATACCATATTATACTTCTATACGCCATTCCCAGAATTGATCCAAAGAGCTGTGACTTGCGATCAAGGGTGTTCAACGTCGAAGTAAATTTTCACTTCGACTTCATTGCTCCAACCCGCTTCCAGACCCATTTCTTTCCAAGCTGTTTCAACGTCAATGTTCAACACGTGATCGTCTGCAGCATTGACAGTGACTGTGTGAGGAGGGATTGGTTGGCCTTGGATGGTGACCATGAAATCTCTCTCAATCGACATGTCCGGCAGACTCGAGATATACGCCCCTTTACATTCAGTTAGTTTTCATGGTTGGAGCTTCTGTATCAGACGAAGTGACATTACCGAGGATTCCCAAGGCTTTAAGACGCGTGTCCAAAAACACCCTGCCATTATGTTGCGCCTCGGACTCATGCGAAGTGATGGCGGCTGCTCCAGTCATCTTCTCAATGAGACCCATATTGGCGACATGGATTTTGCCGTTCGTCTCTGTGTTAAATT